ACGGGAAAGTTTATGTAGGTACATTTACATATTTTACACTTTTATCATAAATGTCAAGGCAGATATTTTAAGATACACTTCTTATCAAACAAATTTTTTTAAGTTATTATGAATGGATAAAAGAGACATCTTCTTTGAATTCAGTACTAAAACTTGACATTTCAAGTGCTTATCAAACTTTATACATGTTAACTAGATGCGCCATTTATCTTAAAATTATATAATTTTAATTATTTGTTTATAAAAATGCAGTTTACACTTTCACAAAACCCGTATAAATCCAAAGTTTGATCTTTGCGCAACATTAAAAAAATCAACGAGCTTTTTAATTAGATTTCCTAGAAATACATATTTTGAGTATGCAGTTTTGTAGCCCGATCAATTCAAATAAAGCGCAAGTTTAAAATACATAGCTGCGACTTATCGTTGATTTTTAATATATATATATTTTTTTTTGATGAAGGCGTTGCTCATTTTCTTCATTAAAAAAATCGTCGAACATACTTAGATAATATGGAAGAAAATTACCGACATCGTCAAAAATATGCCATACATCAACTGTAAATCACAGCTACTTTAAATTTGCACTTTATTAGACTAAAATTGAATGAGCTAAAGAACTCCAAAATATTAAGAGATAAAACTTAAATAGAAAGTTCGAAATTTTTACGAAAGTTTGTCGCTTTTTTTTAATGTTGTTCAAAGATTAAACTTATTTTTATTTAGTGTTTGTTAAGGAATAAACTATATTTTTATAAACAAATAATTCAAATTAAAATATAATAAAATAAATAGTCAAATCTAGTCAATATGTGAGTGTCGTAAAGTTATGATATTTAAGAACATCTCTTTCTTTATTAACGATGACACTGTTTCTATATGAAGCTGATTTCGACATTTTGTTTTAATAAAATTTAATATCGAAAATATTCTTTCAAAACTTGCCTAGGAATGTGATATAATGGTTCGTTCAAAACCTTTTTTCAAAACTTATAAAGGCAAAAACGAGACGGCGAAGACAAAAATTTCCCGCAGTGAATTTTCAGATTTTTAAAACGGTATAGTAATTTAATTTTTTAAATTTAAATAAAGCATGAAGACCCTATGGAATAAACGAGTAGATAAAAAATATATAACGGTAAAACTGGCACATACATAAATACACTTAGGTCTCCTTTTATGCAGATTTGAATTTATGCGGTTTTTCAAACCATTATTTCGCAGTAGTGATTTTGCTTTTTTGAGAGTTTTTATTACTTTTTTCAGTGTGTACAAGATGTGTTCTTCTGATAAATAATTTGTCTTTGTATTCTTACATAATAATAATAATAGATTGGCGCTTACACACATGTTAGTTNGGCGAAGACAAAAATTTCCCGCAGTGAATTTTCAGATTTTTAAAACGGTATAGTAATTTAATTTTTTAAATTTAAATAAAGCATGAAGACCCTATGGAATAAACGAGTAGATAAAAAATATATAACGGTAAAACTGGCACATACATAAATACACTTAGGTCTCCTTTTATGCAGATTTGAATTTATGCGGTTTTTCAAACCATTATTTCGCAGTAGTGATTTTGCTTTTTTGAGAGTTTTTATTACTTTTTTCAGTGTGTACAAGATGTGTTCTTCTGATAAATAATTTGTCTTTGTATTCTTACATAATAATAATAATAGATTGGCGCTTACACACATGTTAGTTTTTGGCCGAGCTTCTCCTCCAATTTGTGGTGTGCGCCTTGATGTTGTCATACAAAGGGGACAGTTTTACGCCGACTCCGAACGGCGATTGTATTTTTACGAGAGGCTGTTTTTCATGGCAGAAATACACTCGGAGGTTTGCCATTGCCTGCCGAGGGGCGACCGCTGTTAAGAAAAAACCATTTTTTCTAATTTTTTTTTTATGTATTCTTACATAATTCATGTATTTATTGTGGTATTTTTATTTATTTTTTTTTGTTAAAATACAGATAAAATTTTATTTATTTCATTAATGTTCGGTTTTACATGGAATAATAAGTGTTGAAGTGAAGAAATAAATAGTTTTTTTGCTCAATAATGCCTCACTGGATTTTTTTATGCGGTTTTTTAGAATTTTTTACATGGAGTATCTGAATTTATGCGGTTTTTTTATGCGGCTTTCTGAGGAACGCATGTACCGCATAAAACGAGACCTGAGTGTATATGAAAGAATGCACTCAGGCGACGCCTCTAGCCATTGTGTGTCACAGATTTAAGTTAACGATGGGAATTTTTTTTTCATCCCTCCCCAAAGCCAAATCCTGGCTACGCCACTGCACTGTGCTATTATTAAAAAAACCAAAAACAAAAACTTTCCTCCAAAGATGCAAAAATTTGTTTAATGTCATTTTATATGAAACTAAATAGTTACTACCTATCCACTTTATATCTGAAATATACATAAGTACTCTAGTTCAATTACTACTAATAAGGATCACAGCGACCTAAAAACCCATACATTTTTTATGAAACTTACCTACTGTCTGCCTGAAACATGAAATGCATATTTTCGTACTTAAATAAGATGTTATCGGCAGACTTGTGCTTGAATGTTAGACACATACATACTCGTTATGGATCCTTACGGCCCAGCAAACTCAGTCTCTAACGTTGAAGAAACATTTTGATTTCCCCTTAAAATTGTAATGTAGCTAGCAATCGAAACGAAATTCGAGAACTACATACATACATATATTAGAATTCGATTAGAGAATGATTATTTAAATACTAGACATTAGAGATCCAACCGTTTTCTCGATATTGAGAACTAAGTCCCCTTTTTGTAGAGAATGCTATAAATCTAGACAGGTTCTCTAATCGGTTTTTTTATTTTCTAGCTTAGAGAAACCCATTAGAATTCGAGTCATTTTATAATCGTTGTAATGTTTCAATCCATTTCGTCCACCGAAGATTTAAAAATTTAAGAAACATTTCCGCATATTTAGTGCAAAAGTTAGGAAATCTAGCAAATTCTTATGGGTGTACATTCTGCAGGAAACGATTTAAAATTAAACACCTGCTGTGAAGCATCGAAAAAGTGCTACGAAAAACTTTCGTAGTCTTGGTTTTTGTACAATGTAGGAAACTTTCGTTCATAATACGAAAACATTTTTCACAACGAAACGAGATTTTACGAACCATACGTAAATATAACGAAACACATTCGTAAAGCACTGAACGAATCTCTGTACGAATAATTTTGTACATTGTAGGAAGGCATTCGTAATATTTACGTATGGTTTTAAAATTTACGAAATCTACAATTCTGTATTCGTACAATTTAGTTAATACTTTCGTATAAAGTACTAATGCAGAAACATGTTTTTTTAAATTCGTAAAACGTACGAATATTTTCGTACAATATACTCAATTACCGACAGTTTAATATTTCATCATATTTTTATGCATCGCGTGTCATTGCGGAATTACTTGTTGGCTGCTGAAAGACGTATAATATAATTTTAAACGTTTTAAAAAGGGATTTGCTGGATAAAAAACCATCACAAAATTCAATATTAAAGCTGTGGATATACTATGCTTTTACGAGGGACGTTCAATGTATTCTCGATATCGCAATGAAACACAACTCGAATTAAAGCCAATATATTTTTATTTTTCAATATAACTCCCCATAACCTCAATACACTTATTATTTCTTGAAATTAATTTTTCAATGCCCTCAAAAAAATATCTTTCCTCCTTGTCCGAAAAATGAGCATTTATTGCCGCCTTGAGCTCTTTCATCATCAGAAAGTTTTTTTCCACGAAGATCCTTTTTCAAATTCGGGAACAAAAAGAAATCACTAGGGGCCAGGTCTGGGCTATACGGTGGGTGATTGATTTCTTCGAAGCCACAATCTCGTATAGCGGTTTTCGAAACACGCGCTGTGTGAACCGGAGCGCTGGCATGAAGAAGCAACACACCGGCAGCCAGTTTTCCCCGTCATTTTTCTTTGATTGCTTCCCTTAAATTATGCAAAGTGGTAGCGTAAGATGCTGCATTGATGGTTTCACCCTTTTTCGTGTACTCAATCAATAAAATTCCTCTCGT